CTTTGCCCCCAAATGAGGAACCTTCCCAGATATGAACATGGAAGCGATTCGGCTGCAGGTGAAGCCGAGTCTGTGACCAAAAAGGGGGTTTCCAGGGGGGCTTTTCTCCCAGACCCCCAAAATTGGATGAACAAATGACTTTGAATAAAGAATAAAAAGAACTAAAAGAGGGATAAGGCACAGCAGACGAAAGAGCCTTCCCTGATTCCCTTTTCCAGACCTTTGGAAGTTTTTAATCTTAAAATCCCAAAGGCCCCAGAGGTGAAGGGAGCCCCTCCCCCATTCCTGGCATTCCGGAAAGGGGTGAAAAGGGGGCTCTGGGGCTTTGCTTGGGGGGCACAGAGGAGGAGGCAGCCGTGGGGCCGGTAAGCCTCCTGAAGCCCCCCCCTTTTAATTTACTACTGCATTTTAATCATTCTTGTCTTTTAAATCCTATAGATTATTTTGGTGGTTTTATATTTTATGGGTATACCATGCAAAGTCCCTCTGTGTGAGAGACAGATGGTTTTAAAAGTTGATAAGTAAATCAATATATTATTGATTTATTAATATAAAATATTATATAGTGTATAGATTATATTGAAATATATGCATATACTGGGCAAGAGAGAGACCTGGCTGGATTCCTCCCCCCCCCCAAAAAATATAATATTTGATATAATATTCTGGAAAGAAGTTTTTCTGGGCAGGGGATTGAAAGTGAAAAGGGACAAATGCAAACTAGGGGTCCCAAGGGTAGAATTTTTGGGATTCTTGATCGATGGCCAGTCGAGTTGGTGTGGCTGACAACCATGTGGTGCACCTTGCGCTCGTCATGGTCATCGTAGCCCCTTCTCTGGTCGCGCCTCCCTTCGGGTCGGGCTGACCCCTTCCATCTGTTCTCACGCGGTCTATGGGGCGGCGAGCGGCGTGGCGGTGACTGGCGTGGTGGGGATCGTCGTGGTGGAGACGTGTGCCTCCGTGGGGGCGAACGCTGTTTCCTGAAACTCGGGTGCGAGGCTCGGCATGCTTTTGCGATGTGTCCTCGCCTCAGGCAGCGGCTGCACGTGGTGTCTAGGAACCGACAGTTTGCTCGTGTGTGGTTCCCCAAACACCCTGGACACTCGAGGTCGTCCCGCTCGTCTCGCCATGCTCGCTGGTAAAGGTGCGATGGACGGTCTCTTCCTCGCCGGCCTCGTCCGATTCGGTGGCCTCCGGATCGGGGGTTGGCTCG